TTAACCGTCGGATACGTCAGAAGATATCTTTTTGATGAAATGAAGATGCTCTTCTCTTTCTTAAATAAATTACATGCGATTAAGTAGAACTGTAAATACATTCTGTCATACGTAAAGTAGGAAAGCAGGGTGGAATAAATCCAGACCTCTTTCCGGTGGATACCAATTGCATGATTTGTGGTTTAGAGGTAGGAACAGTGTAGAAGCTAGATAAAGACATATGGCAAAAGATTTCATAAGGCGCATGCGCTGATTTCCAAGCTGATCGTAAGGACATTTGGTCAATAATCTGCCGAGTGAAGAAACTGCGACCCTTCTCAATAAAAATGACTATAAATGATTTATATGCGTACGTTTTTATTAGTGTGCAAAAAATATCGCTGTATTCTCTGATAAAATAATTGAATAAATTTGCTAAGTTTTAAATCAGTATAGCTTCATAATAATTAAAAAAAAATTCGTGCAAATAGTTATAATTAGAAGGCACATGAAAAGGTTAAACACTATTTTATATCAAATCAACAAAAGTCATTGCGTTGCTTAACTCTTTTCAATATAGATATATCTAATTTATTAAGATTTTATTGATGATATTTAGTTTAATAATAATGTAGAAGAAAAAAAGTATTTTAGCAATTAGTATGAAGTTAGATAGATGTGGATGCTTCTTTCAAAAAGAAAAAAAAACAACAACGGGCAAATCACACTGAAAACACAATTGCGCAAGTCGGCTTGCAAAAATAATTTAGAATACTGAGGGGAATGCCAAATTGTTTAAGAGAAATGCTGCCACTTGATCCTTTTTTGCTGCTTAGCGGTACACGTTCATGGCTCTCCACATAATCCTTTTCGTTATTATCTGTGCATTTTTTGTACTAATATTCACCCAATATAAGGCCCAAGGCGGAGTGTCACTGAGTGAAGTTTTATTAGCGTATGAAAGGTTTTGGTTTCGTTTCGTTTGTTTTAAGGAATATCAAACTCAATGGGTTATTTAATGCCGACAAGATTTTTATTGCTGCTAATATTTTTTTACAAAAATGTATTGCTGATATTTTTTTTTTTTTATCAAAAATCTATTCCTGGTAATAATTTTTTATAAAAATATATTGCTGGTATTAAAACCTATTCTTGCACTTTCATAGTGTTTAGACGCCAGTTAGGGGGTTAACTATTTTCCCATAGCTGGGACCCCAACAGGTGCTACCACCCCGAGTCAGGGTGAACCTGGTAACACCAGCAATTAAGAGGTGGTTCCAGGTTCCTCAAACCTTCCTGATGAGAGGCCTTGCTGTCGGATGTAGTTTATCATCTCACCCAGGACGGTGTATGAAAGGAAAAATGTTATGAAACAAGAAATCAGAAAAGAGTTCTGCAGATAAGAAGAGCTAAAGAAGAAAATGTTAGCATAGAATTATAAGCGTTTATAAGGCCTAAGTATATTTCTTACTTACCTTTACCCAATACACACGGAACAGCTGCATACAATGACTTAATTTGTGGACTAATTACAATATGCACTCAGATGTTTTAATTTAATTATATCAGAAGAATCTCTACTGAAGTCAAATAGATTAACCCAGTTTCAGCTTTTAGGATTCTCTAACTTATAATATCGAATAAATAAAAATTGTGTGCAGGAGTCACTGTCAAAAAATCAATATATTAATTCTTAGGATTTTTTCTTGTAACTGACAATAGTTAGTTCAGTCACTTTATGAACGTAAACAGAGGAATTGCAAAAACTCGATGAGAAAAATCAAAGAAGCGTACTTGGTCTAATATAATGCACGTAGATATATCATTAATTTTGCAGTTTTCTGAACGCAAATATTCATTTTTCAACATAATCGTCTTCCTTTTCAACGCATTGCATTCAGGTACAGTTATTAATCATGTCGTGTACCTCCCCCGCTCTGCATTAGTGAAGGAAGTCAAAGTCAGCTTTGATCTGTAATGACTTCCCTGCCCCCAAGTGCAAGCTAATGTGTCGGCCCAGCCACACCTGCATTGAAAACTTGGGGAAAGAGCTGGATTGCAGAAGATATATATATATATATATATATATATATATATATATATATATATATATATATATATGTGTATATATATATATATATATATATATATATATATATATATATATATATATAATTTATAACATAAATATGTTATAAAGTCACTACAAAAAATAGCCATTATGTTTCAACGGTTTTTTGGGGTTTTTTTTATAAAAAATAATTATATCTGCTTTACTTTGTATTGAGCTTTCTTTTAAGAATAGTAATTGTTCGTTATTGAAATATATATATATATATATATATATATATATATATATATATATATATATATATATATGTATGTATGCATGTATATGTATAGGCTTATAGGCAGTCTCCGAGACATCGCAGATGAGAATGTAAAGTTCACGTTTCGGATGAAGGAAACCGGGGCTACACAAACACACACACAATCACATAAACATACACACAGATACACACGTACAAAGACAAAAATATGCACACACGAACATGCATATACATTTTTTATCAAGCCAATTTGCTGTAACGTACAAAAAATAATATTCTTCTGCTCTGTGCCAAATCCTTTCATGGAGGTGAACGATTATAGCCCCCCACAATTTCCTATCCTTTGGAGTTCTTAGCAATGTTTGTCTTTTTACTATTCCTCCCGATCCATGTCATGCAGCCTATTTACATAAGCATATAAGATAGATTACACGCTGCTTTCCTCTTCCCATAACGCCTTTAATAGGCCCTGTCAGTATCAAATTCTCCTAGCCTTCTTTTCTTATTATGTATCCCAGAAATTCCAATCGTCTGATTTTATGCATAATTGTCCTTTTTTGTTTCCATCATCTTTAAAACTTGATACAGTCATTTTTCTTCTTCTCTTAATCTTAGAAAAAGACGTGATAGGTCCATATTGCTCACTCACTACTCTCCTATGTTTCTTTAATGAAATAGCAACATTTTAATGTTGCTATTTTATATATTCTGTTTCCGGCCTTCTTCAGGTGGCTGGAATGTCGAACTGAACCCTCTATTCCGCTCACTAGGGTAGACTATTCTAGTTCTAGGTCCTCAAGTACACATGGTATAGTGGATAAAGGCGTTAGTTAGATCCAGTGACAGGACCCAAAGAGTATGAGTTCAATACCCGGTTAAGGCAGTGGAGAACTTTCAGGGGGAAATTAACAGGAGATAACTGATAACTGACATCCATTAAACATGGCACGTGGAACTAGAACAGTCTACCCCAGTGAACGAAATAAAGAAATAAATAATGTCAGTTCGACATTCTAACCATCTGAAGAAGGCCGGATCATACAACGGCTGAAACGTTCGTTATAAATATGGCGACAAAGATGAGGACAATAGTCCGAATAATTTAAATAATACTATATTTTCATGGGTTACGTTTTCAAGTTAAATTCCTTCCTTTAAAGATGGCCAAATTTTAAAACTTTACCTCTCCGACTGCTAACAATATCATCCTTACGATATTGATTGTATGTCCCACTACGGACGGTTTCCGTCGGGTAGAGTCTTTGACAAGTGATATGATTGAATTCATCGTGGCTTGAAATAGATAGGAATAGTCAGCTACATCATCAAAACAGATAATTAAATTGGACTTAGTCCCAACGACGAATAAATTAACAGAACTTTCTCGAGTAGAAAACTTTCTAAGTCATCAATCTAATACCTACTGTTATTATATATCACTTGTTTTGAAAGTCGGTATTTCTTCATTTCGATAAAGTATGGATCAAGGTCATAACTTTTAGAAGATTCTGAGAAGTCAGTTTTAGTTGGTCGTAACTGCCACGAAATTCGGCACTTAAATCGTAACTTTATCTTGATTTCATGCACTGCTGTCAAACGGTGAAAACGAACACTCCATTGATTTTTCGACAAGGGCAACCCTGATACTTTGCTAGCATAAGAATCTATGCCTGTTTCTTACTCTATGAGTGCTTCCATCCCAGAATTGAACATTTAATAATGTACAGGTTTTCCGCACAATAAAACTTTGCCACTCAATAATTCTATCCACTTGGCCAAATCATTGATATACAGGATGAATATCTATATACTTAAAGTTAATACAATAATATACTGGCTTGTTTTGGGGATCAGAGCATAACATCACCTACTGGCCAGATTTCAAGTCCATATAACAGCTAGGAACTTAAATCTTGGATTTCGAGATTGGCAGTTCCTTTCATGTCAGACTTTAGTTGCAAATTCCGTTTTCGTGTTTTATTTTTCACTACGCTAAACTGAACTTTGTAATTGCTATCTGAAATCTTTGGGATGGGGGGTATTATTATTTACCTTATTTTAGAGCGGGCTACTCTCCCCATCTTTGTTGTTGTTATCCGTTGTTGTGCCCCAGGGTAATTCTCGATGTGAGTAACCTTCAGAGAATATCGAACTAGACCCTTTATTCAATTGATGAAGGTAGTTTGCTCTTGTTCCGTTCTCCTTGTCCAGGGATACCCAATCTACTTCTTATAGAGTTATTACTCGTCCAGTTTCCTCTGAGTTCAAGTACACACTACCCGTCGTAGGGCTTGAACTTACAATTACTATGTTTACCAATTTTCACCATTGCTTTAACCTACTAGTCTATTTTTTGCGGGAATTGGTGAAGGCCGATCGACACAACAAAAATTGCGATATCGGCAATAAATATAGGAACAGTAGTCGTTGTGTAAATAATCTAAACACTGAAATAAAATATAAAATACACGCTTGGTATAAAATGCAATGTCTGTTTCTTTTTCCAAAAGTCTTAAATCGTCAAGATATTACGCACAAGTTTCACACAAGACTGTTAAAGGAAGTCAGGTTCAGGTTTGATGTAGAATTATTCGCGTCAGTCAAATGAAAAAGTATGTAATCTCAGATCTGCGTCCGGAATTTTAATCGTAAAAACTAGCATGTTGACGGGTGGTTATATAAGCAATCATTCTAGGGTGGATTTGAGTAGGGTATTTTTTTTTTTGCGTTACGCGTAGCTGTGGGGCGAGTAACTGTGGTACACGTAGCCGTGTTGCGAGTAGCTGTGGTACAAGGAGCCGTGGTACGCGTAGCCGTGGTGCGAGTAGCTGTAGTACACAGTGCCGTGGTCCGAGTAGCTGTGGTACGTGTAGCCCTGGTGCGAGTAGCAGTGGTACACAGAGCCGTGGTCCGAGTAGCCGTGGTACACGTAGCCGTGGTGCGAGTAGCTGTGGTACACAGAGCCGTAGTCCAAGTAACCGTGGTAAGCGTAGTCATGGTGCGAGCAGCTGTGGTACACAGAGCCATGGTCCGAGTAGCCGTGGTAAGCGTAGCCGTGGTAAGCGTAGCCGTGGTAAGTGTACCCGTGGTGCGAGTAGCTATGGTACACAGAGCCATGGTCCGAGTAACCGTGGTACGCATAGCCGTTTTGCGAGTAGCTGTAGTACAAAGAGCCATGGTCCGAGTAGCTGTGGTACATAGAGCCATGGTCCGAGTAGCTGTGGTACAAAGAGCCATGGTCCGAGTAGCTGTGGTACATAGAGCCATGGTCCGAGTAGCTGTGGTACGCGTAGCCGTGTTGCGAGTACCTGTGGTACACAGAGCTGTGGTACGAGTAGCCGTGGTACGCGTAGCAGTGGTCCAACTGCAGGACTCTCCTAAGCGTAAGATTCACATACTGTAAGGACCCAAAAGGCCGCTTTTACAGTCACACTGGCTGTCAGTAACTAGTAAACGGGGAATTTGAATAAAGAGAGTTTGGGAGAATGTGGAAAAAAAAACGAAAAGCCTGGAATAAAAGTCAGTCGGTTGAGAAAAAAATAAAAGTAAAAAATACAATATAAATAGCAGCTCAGGCCCGTCTCATCCGAACAAAGAAAATATACGAAATATGTACGATTCCCAACTAAACCTCCTTCAATTCTCTGACGTAAGCGAATTAGCTATTAAAAAAACTGTTGACTGACAAATTATTACCTAGGCTGACATTACTAGTAATTTTTTGTATGTGTGGATAGTGTAAGGGTTACCGATGATGAAAGTGGAATCGTCGAGCTGAGTTCAATTTCCATACTAATCTGCTGCTATCACTTTTGTACAATGCCATCGGAAATGGTATGAATCAGTCTCCTTTCCACCAACTATGACTTAAACAGCGGGATAAACTGAACACTCTAACCTTGGTTAGTAACCAGTTGAAGAGAAAGGAAATTCTGAATTCTAAACTGGAAAGAAGGCAATTGGAATCCATTACATTATATTTCCCAAGAATGCATAGTAATTTACTTATGAAAAAGAAATGGAGGCTGTGGATAGTCATAAACATCTGTCTTGAAATGTCATGGCATTCAAATACAGTCATTACCTTCTTAGGCTTACACTCATATATACGTTTGAATACAAGTAAAATCTACAAAACAAATTTATATTTACATACCAATAAAATTAATTACGAAATTATAATGTGCTTAGAGTACTGCGTATCAGTTTTCCCTTCTTGGCTTTAACTTGTGACTCTTCTGTCACAAGCATACTGCATTACTATAGGCCCCAAGTGTGGCACAATGCAGATATAAAAGAAAACCCAAGCAAGAGACTCTTTTTTCAGCGCTAATTTCTCTACTGTTAAAGTGTACTGTAAAGGCTACTGCTAAATTGTACTGTCAGTCAGTTATGTGCCATGCGTGATACACGCTTAGGCGATCATGTATCTTTCGATACATGACTGACAAGGTAGTTTTTTTTTTCCTGCGGTAGGTTGCCATTTCTTTCTGCCGTAGACCAGTTGCCATCCAAGGCTACAGAACCCGGTCTGTCTTGCTATTTACCCATAGCTGGGAAAAGAAGAAGAGGATTCATACCTTTCCCAAGGATATTAACATGTAAATGAATGTAATAGATTCGACTGGAATTCGAACTCGGCTCTCTGATTCCTCAATCCAAGCCGATATCCATTACTCCACCCCAAAAAAAATCCAACAGTAATTTTCTCCTTTCGCTCTTAATTAAAGTAGCTTTTTTTTTTAATTTAAGGCATGTTCCTATTTCTTCTGATGTTTATAAATAAACCAATAGAATTAATATTTTTTCTTTTTGATCATAAAGTTAATTCGGCATTTTTATGTACCATTTGTACCTGAATAAAGAAATATTCCGTCTTTAATTGTTCTTCAAGAGTTCTTAATGATGACGCATCTCCACCAAAATTGAGTTGAAACTGAACCATACTAACAGACTCCAAGGCAGATTCTATTACAACAATCATATGATATCCGTACGTTTGAAAACTAATATATGCCTCTTTGAAATATTAGTGGCATCATTGTGATGATAGAAAATATATGGTTTCGAAAAAAATACGAATAAGATTTCTTCCTTGTTTCTTATTAAACTACTAAAAAGAAAATGACCAGTACAACGGAAATAACTGTACAATATATCCATTTTCACTTTTAATTCAAAATGCCAAATGTAACTCTTTGAAATGGTAATTATAATATTAGGCATTTCCTTATAAAGAAATATTCGTTATTTCTTAATCAAGCATCCGGTGCAATTCAAGTTACACTTTTATTCATTCACTGGCCATTGGGCGAGGATGTTCTCATTTTTTATATTTTTTTATAAATTTTTTCACCCTGTACAATGCCCGGGAGACATTCGAGGTAGAGGGCTACAGAATAACAGGCATAGTTTATGTGGATATGTTGGAAAGATAAAGGTTAAACATAGACAGGAATGACTTAAGATTTTAATAATCCGAGGAGCATTCTCTTAGGAGTCGGTTCTACAGAGCATCGGTTCGTGGTAAGAAGCTGTTCAAGTAGGACCTAAATTCTATCAATGGAATTCGAAGACAATGAGTGTAATCCGCTATAATCGGTATGACATGGCGTGCTTTAGCCGTGAAGTTAAAAACTGGCGAATTTAAGGAATATAGCTCTTCTTCATTTTTCATTCGTCAACACTTTCCATGAGAAACAGCGATCGAGCTGCGAGAGGCACGTGACGTTAAAGCTCTGAGAAAAGGTTTTGTAGAATGTAAAATAATGTCACCAGCAAGGACGGGGACATCTTTAATAGTAATTACATTATTAGCTGTTTCCTTGTAAGGTGACAGATGACATTCATTGACTGAGGAGCCAGTATTACCGTCAAACAAAAATTATAAAATCTCACCAAGGACTAGTGAATAAAAACGTTGGTTAGATCCAGTAACTAGATCCAAAGAGTTGTGAGTTCAGTACCAGGCCACAGCAATAGTGAACCAAAACTTGGAGAAATGAGTTAAAGGGAAATAACTCTAGACGTCCGGAAGAGGCATGGCACGTGAAACTAGAAAAATCTACCCCCCAGTGGACGAAATAAAGGCTTCAGTTCGAAATTCCAATCGCCAGAAGAAGACCGGGGCGTATAAAGGCCGAAACGTTGTGAATATAGCATTGAAGATGAGGACAATAATAAATCTCGGACATATAAATAGATAAAATGATTTTATTGAAACACATTTTCTAAAAAGTAAGTTTCGGTTAATGTCGCTCTTTCCAGTACTGATGAGGTTTTCTTTACGAACAGTTTTGTGTGTGTGTGTGTGTGTGTGTGTGTGTGTGTGTGTGTGTGTGTGTGTGTGTGGAATGGCAGCACATTGGTTGTGTCATGATTTCTCTCATCGAGTTACCTGGGCTATCTAATTAAGATCTTGCCACTGTTGGAAGTCCTCAAGTAATGTTATTTCTGCTAGTTGGTAAAGTTCTTTGTTTCTGATTGTGGCGGAACTTCCACGAGGTCCGGGAAAGAATGGTTTTTGATAAGATCTACTGACTTCATTTACTCGAATCCAACTTTCACAATCGATCTAAGAAAACTGTCATAGACAAGTTAAGATTGTTTAGCAGTCATTGATAATTGAGTCCACCCATATTGTGAAAACCTGCGTAAATAGAAAAAAGATTTTTACTGGTTTCTTTCTTATTTTTAGTTGATTTTTCAACCAATTTTCATCAAACTTAACAATTGCTTTATAAAGTAGTACATTGGCAAACAAAATTTTAATAACTCTAAAATAATTGTGATTTGAAGTGGGTCTACATGTTGCCTGTTTTACCCCTTCATGTCCTCGGCTAACTTCGATTCAATAAATACAGACTACTTCTGTTATATCAGTAAGTATATTAATTCAGAATGCTTTTTAATGAAAGAGCTTTAAAGTAATTGAAGAAGATAGACTCTGTTGCACCTAAACATGATGGTGTTTTTGCTCTATTCTGATTGAACGCTTTTTCTGATCGACAAACTGGGTATGGCTGCTAGTATATATATATATATATATATATATATATATATATATATATATATGGCTGCTATATATATATATATATATATATATATATATATATATATATATATATATAGCCATACCCAGCTTGTCGATCAGAAAAAGCGTTCAATCAGAATAGAGCAAAAACACCATCATATATATTAAAGTCTGGATCTTTCTAAATGACTCGACAATTTAGGTTGATGATTTGACTTTGTAGTAACTTGTGGTATTGTGTGAAAATATACCGAGTGTAACCGAAGCGCATAAAAAGTGGAGTCCGTTTTTGTTTGTTTGTTTTCTTTTCTATTTACAAGAAATAAGAATAGTACTATCATGTTTTCGTTTCTTTTTCAGGTTTTCTTTGTGGATAATATGTTCTTGGACATCTTATCTTTAAATATTGGTGAGTAGCAGACTGCAATTTCTTCTTTCTTTCTTTCCTACTTTTACAAATTACCATATTACAGTCAAAATCCTTATTATCTCAAAATTCACGGTTTTTCTCTCTCTCTCTCTCTCTCTCTCTCTCTCTCTCTCTTTCTGTATATATATATATATATATATATATATATATATATATATATATATATATAAGTGAACATTGAAGTCAACACTTAGAGGCGACAGGCTATTTCATGCTAGACGCAATCGTCAAGCAACGAGTGCTGTCTTTTTTCTCGACTATTTATATATACGGGTCAGTGGTGCATTATGGGTAGTCTATTTTGGCGGTTATTTTGCCGGAAGTCGTTTATTTATTTATTTGGGTTATTATGAAGAAATATAGTTTTAAGGTGTGCTATATTTATGGGATAAAGTGCTCAATATCAGGGATAGAGCGTGTGTAAATATAAATATAGACTGCATCTAGCATGAAACGGCCTGTCGCCTCTGAGTGTTGACGTCAATGTTCACTTTTTTATATATATATATATATATATATATATATATATATATATATATTTATGAGCTATATGGTGTATTTTGCCAGCAAGAATTATTTCATCTTTCAAACATGTTGTCTTCAATACTATTTACAGGTTTTATCTATGTAATGTTTTGCTCCAGCAGACAAGGAAACTAAGCAAAATCAGTTACATGAACTGACAAAGAAATAAATACTTGAAAATGAATGTAGTAACATTCGAAAATTCTCTGGTGAAAAAAACTAAAATGAATTCCGGAAGGGAAGTTTACTAATTACATAAAACAACTTATTCAAATATTT